TAGGGGACTAAAAACATAATAAAATAGAAATATCTTGAACTGTTTTTTTATACTGTGTTCTTTTAAAAGCTGATTATTAGCTTGATGCTATTGTTTAAATAAGTCCTAATACATTCACACAGTACATGAAACCAGAAAAAGAAAGGGAGCTTTCAAATACCGTAAGTGGAAGAACCAGAATGCACAAAGTGTATCTACTACGCTGTTATGTAACTTTAGCTACACACTTGATAATGTTTCTGAATGAAGTCAACCTAAAATTGCAAGGCAAAACAGCATGTATCTGCAAAATTTATAAAGCCATCCTAACAGCTAACATTGTTTGACTCACAAATAATGGCAAGCTGCTTTGTACGTTTTCATTCTGTCAAAGTGAAAACAAGAAGCAAGCTCCCCGCTCCGGCCCAGCTTGGTGGTGGGATTTGTCCAGGGTCACAGTGCAGGACCAGCTGTGGTTTCCCACTTGACACAGTGCAGAGTGATCGTCTGTATCTTCACATCTGTTCACAACTGTTCAACTGAGAAGCTTCTACCGAACTTTTACTTGGGGGTGACTAATCTGCACTATAATGACATGTGAAAAGGCAAATATTAAGAGAAGAATCTAACAGAATTTTATAAATGTCTTCTAGGCAATTAACATGCCTGCAGGTTAATATCAATATTTGGCAGTATCTGTTTGTGTGAAAAGACATTTTCAAAAACGAGAGACACTGTGTCGTCTTATAGATCAGCATGAACAGGGCAGCTAGGTAAGGAAAAGAAAAGACCTCCAACTTGGAAAGGAAGAACTACAACTATCTGTGGCTCGCAGATGATGCAATCTTGTATATAGAAAACCGTAAGGAATGAAATTAAGAAAATTCCATTTACAACAGTATCAAAAAGGATAAAATACTTAGGAATAAATCTAACAAAAGAAGTGCAAGGCTTGCACACTGAAAACGTCACTGAGAGAAATGAAAGAAGACCTCGTAAATGGAAAGACCTCCCGTGTTCACAGTCAGAAGACTCCGTGTCAATAAGCAGCGCCCCACACACTGACGCGCACCCAGCGCAGCCCTGTCAGAGTCCCTGCCGCCCATGGGGCCGAAATTGGCAAGATGATCCTAAAATCCATATAGACCTCTAAAGGGACTCAGAATAGCCAAAAAAAAAAAAAAAAAAAAAAATCTTGAAAAGAAGAAAAAAGTTAGAGGACTCACACTTCTCAATTTCAAAACTCACTGCAAGGCTCCGGTAAGCAAGGCCACTTGGTATGGTGTACATACTCTATAGAAGATGGAGGTGAGCGTCAGGAGTGAGCCTGTGTATTTTTCGTCTAACAAGACCGTTCACGGGGGAAAGAATGGCCTTTTCAACGAAAGGTGCGGAGACAACAGAGTAACCACCTGTAATGGAAGTTGGACTCCTACTTCATACCACATGCAAATGTGAACTCCATCTGGTCTCTAGACCTGAATGAAAGGAGCTAAACCATGAGGCTCTTGGAAGAAAATGTAGGAGTGAATCTTCATGACTTGGAGGAGGCAGTGATTTCTTGGGACACCAAAAACAAGCAGCCAAAGACCTCAATAAATGAGACTTTATCACAATGAAAAACTTCTCCAACTCAAAGGACACCATCAAGAAAGTGAAAAAAACCTATAGAATTGGAGAAAATGTTCTCAAATCCTGTATTTAATGAGAGACGTGTGTTCAGAATAGATCATTTAAAAATGGGCCAAATATTTGAATAGGCCGTTGGTGTATCTTCTCTGGACAAATGACAGTAAACACATGAAAGGATGCTCCATGTCGTTAGTCATTAGGGAGATGAAGACCATGATGAGACACCACTTCATGCATGCTGAGATAGCTAAAATAAAAACCCAGGAGATGACGAGTGTCAGTGAGGATGTGGGGGAGGTGGAGCCCTGAGACATTGCTGGTGTGATGGTGAAATATAGCTGCTTTGAAAATAGTCTGACAGTTGTTCAAAAGGTTGAACACAGAGATGCCGTGTGATCCAGCAGCTCTACTCCCAGGTGTATAACCGGGAGAACAGAAAATAAACGTCCATACAAAAACTGGTATGTGAACGTTCGTAATAGCCAACAGGTAAAACAATCCAAATGCCCATTAATGAATGCATGCACAGATGAAATGCAGTGGAATATTACTCAGTCAGAAAAGGGAGTGGAGCACCGATACATCCCACAATCTGTATTTAGGATGAGCCTTCAAGACCTCAGACACAAAAGGAAGTCTGTTGGATCATTTCATTTATATAGAATTTCCAGAATAGGCAGGCCCATAGAGACAGCAGGTGAATAGTTCCCCAGTGACTCAGGAGAGAGCAAAGTAGTGATGGGAAGGAACTGGTAACGGTACAGGGTTTCACTTGGGGGCGATGAACAGGTTTTATTTATTTGTTTATATATATATGTATATATATATTTTAAAGATTTTATTTATTTATTTGAGAGAGAGAATGAGAGACAGAGAACACGATAGGGAAGAGGGTCAGAGGGAGAAGCAGACCCCCCGCCGAGCAGGGAGCCCGATGCGGGACTCGATCCCGGGACTCCAGGATCATGACCTGAGCCGAAGGCAGTTGCTTAACCAACTGAGCCACCCAGGCGCCCTATTTGTTTATATTTTTAAAAGATTTTATTTATTTACTTGTCAAGAGAGGGAGAGAGCACTAGTTGGGGGGAGCGGCAGAGGAAGAGGGAGAAGCGGGCTCCCTGCTTAGCAGGGAGCCCGACGAGGGGCTCCATCCCAGGACCCTGGGATCATGACCTGACCCGAAGGCAGATGCCCAACCGACTGAGCCACCCAGGCGCCCCAACAACTTTTGACTACTAAAGAGTGTGACCTAAGTGTAAGAAAAATCAGAAAATAAGATTCGTTTCCTTCTCCTACTCACCAAGAGATAAGCTCCTCAGTGACCTCTTAGTTCATGTGCACACACATTCACACGAAATGCGACTGTACTGTTTTATAGACTATTTCTCTTGTGTATACTGTGGATAGCTTTCTTTGTCAATAAATAGGCTTCATAATCTCCTTAATGGCTGTAATATCTCCTCGCCTGGATGAAGAATAACCTATTTAACCAAGTCTGCCTTATTTGGCGTTTAAATTGTGTCTGCATGTTTGCCTTGATTGACAGCACTATTATCAACACCCAGTAGCTAAATGTGTGTGCAGAGTGGTGATTATTTTGTTAGGATAAATTCTCAGAAATAGAATTATTAGATTGAAAGTACACGGCCATGTTTAAGATGTGATATGTATTGTCAGACTGCCTCTGTAAAGAGCACCTGTCCATGTGAACTGAGTTTTGAAAGTCCCTTCCGTCTACATAATAAAACTTCATTCAGCCCCTTGAATGTGGGTGACCTCTGCTGAGCTATAACTTCAGTAGGGAAACGTTGTTCATAATCTCAAGAAGGAGAAAGAGCCAGTCTGAGCAGAGCAAACAAAAAGGAGTCCTGTTTTCCACTAATACAAAGATAACTTCTCTACTTTGTTTTATATGCTAATGAACAATAGAATTACAACATTTCTTTCTGCCTTTGGAAGCTTCGAGTCTATGTTGTTACGGTTCTGTCCACTGTTCCTGTTAGAGGACAAACCCTATCACCAGAAGATACCACTGATAAGGAATGTCTGGTTTCAGGTGTAGTCCAGCCAAACCCGTCAGATAAGTGGAAATATACTGATAGTACTTACTTGGCCATTAAGCACATTTTCCCTTGGAAAATTGGAATTGACACCACTCAGCCAGAAAATATGTTTTTCGGGTTCATGAGATCTGCAAACATGCCTAAGAAATTAAGAAAAAGTATGCTAATTATGATGGGTGTGGAGGGAGGGACTGTTCTCCCACTCTTATCTGGTGGCATAAAAGTAATTTTTATGTATTGGATCAAAGTAAAAATTGGGTCACACAGTTGATGGTGTATGATTTGATCTTTTCAAATCTTTTGTGTTTATTATGCTTTTCCTTCTTTATCTCCTCTTATTTATATATTTATAACCATGTCCTGAGGGTCTGCTGTAGGCCACATCATCTTCTAAGTAATTTTTAAAATTTTCCCATTGTTTGTCTTTCTGATCCTTTTTTTTCTTATGTCTGTCCACTGGTTTTAATCGTAATTTGTCAAATGGAAGTCTATTTATTTATTTTCAAATGGAGGGCTTTTTAAAAGGCAAAACAAAGTAGCAAAGCAATTGAAAATATTACTTTAAAGTCCCAGTTTCGTGAAATAGCTATAAACTTACATCTTAGAATATTCTATAGCCAAAGAATTTGTGGTAATGTTGAGGTGATGCTTACAATTTAAAGTTAAGTCAAATACAATATTCTATAACTAGCATGAATTCAAATCTGTGATTTTTAAACCATACAGAAAAGACCAAATGAAGCAGACCACATTATTCTAGTTTTCACTGGGTGGTTGGATCATGGATGATTTTGCTTTCTTCCCACTTTTCAAATTTTCTTCAGATTTTTATTAATGGGCCTATGTAACCAAGGAGAAAAATAAACTTGTCATGCCAACATAAAATTGTTTTTTAGACTACAAGGTAAAGAAATAGGGATTGAACCATCTAACTGTTAAATGTTAAAATCTGATAGTAATATAAACACTCATTATCGAGGAGTGAGAAGCACAGAAGAGAAGACAATTAATTGTGTATGTAGTTTGGAATTTATGATGTACTTGCATTTACATACAATTGTCTGATATTTATTAGCACTTAATGTCAGTGGGCCATATTCCTTCAGATCATAAATAAATCATAAATACTATAATGAGAATCTGGGTAATAGATACCAACCAAACGAATGATTATTCCACAGCGCTCAGACTGACCATGTTCTGTGGTCTCTGAACTTACTAACGTGAATGTACTTGGGAGGGGAATGTGTGAGCATGTGGGAAATAACAGTATTTGAAACTTGCTTCTTAGTCTTGTTCACTGAACTCTGTCTAATCTTATTTTAGGAGAATGACATCTTCCTGGGCTGGGAAAAAGGAGCTTACAAGAAATGGGGAAAGAGTAAGAAAAAGTGCTCAGATCTGACTCTGGAAGAAATGAAAAAACAGGCTGCTGTTCAGTGTCTTCGCTCTGCTTCTGATGAAGTAGGTTCATAGTTCATCTCTATTACTTAACAAAAGAGAGGCGGGGGGGGATTTTTTTTTAAAAAGCACGCAAATAGAACATCTTGACCAAAGAAACTTAGAAAAATGAACTACTCATTATCTTACCGCTGTAGTGTGAACAGTCAGTTTTTCCTCTAGGGCATTTTAATGCGTAAATGAAGTTGTATTAAAATATATTCTTCTAAAATACTATTACAATTAGAGTATACACCAAATTATGTATCCTTTTTTTCCCATTACGTCTTTTTATTACATTATCTTTATTCTTTGTAGTGGCTAAGTTCTGTTTCATCAAATAATATTCCAAAAGCAATATAATACACTCTTTATTAGTGGATATTTACTTAGCTTGCTCTTTTTTTTTTTAAGCAATCTCTGTGCTCAAACTCATGAATCCTGAGATCCCAGAGTCGCATGCTCTACTGACTGAGCCAACCAGGCACTCCTGTTCATCTTGCTCTTTATTTTCTGTTATGCTCTCCAGAATATTTTCATATGTGTGTGGCTCTTCCATATTCTAGATTATTTCTTTGGGATCCTTTCCTAGAAGTGGGATAGTGGTTTAGTATTTTAAGGACACTACATTTGCTTATGATTCATACTTATTTGTTTTTAGAAAATATTACAAGATTTTTTTTTTTAAGATTTTATTTATTTGACAGAGAGAGACACAGCGAGAGAGGGAACACAAGCAGGGGGAGTGGGAGAGGGAGAGGCAGGCTTCCCACCAAGCAGAGAGCCCGATGTAGGGCTCGATCCCAGGACCCTGGGATCATGACCTGAGCGAAAGGCAGATGCTCAACGACTGAGCCACCCAGGCACCCCAAGATTTTTTTTTTTTTAAGTAAGCACTACACCCTTGGGGCTTGAACTCATGACCCTGAGATCAAGAGTCGCATGCTCTACTGACTGAGCCAGCCAGGCACCCCATATAAGGTTATTTTATTATATTAATCTTCTAATACTTCATATAAAATATTTGTCATGTCCTTTAGCACCCTGAAAAACAAAATGGTTTTAGAATATAATCACCCATTTAAATTACTACTATACAATTCTTTTTTCTTTAAAAATTTTATTTATTTATTTGACAGACACCTTACAAACTACCCAATGAGAGAGAGCACAAGCGGGGAGGGGGGGTGGGAGAGGGAGGAGCAGACTCCCCGCTGAGCAGGGAGCCTGATGCAGGCTCGATACTAAGACCCCGGGATCATGAGCCGAAGGTAGACGCTTAGCCAGTTGAGCCACCCAGGCGTCCCGATACTGTGCAGTTCTTACTAACTCACTATAAGATGTACTCTCTGAGATCCCACTACTTTGAAAATTATTTTATTTTGCTTTTACTGGTTATTTGAGATGGTGTGGTTTAAGTACCTTTTATGAAGCAGAGTTGAATTGAAAGGATTCTGTCGTCTAGAACCTTCTTAATTTAAATGGGTGATTATTTTCTTTTTTTTTTAAGATTTTATTTATTTATTTGACAGAGAGAGAGCACAAGTAGGCAGAGAGGCAGGCACAGGGAGAAGGAGAAGCAGGCTCCCCACGAAACAGAGAGCCTGACGCAGGACTTGATCCCAGGACGCTGGGATCATGACCTGAGCCGAAGTCAGGCGCTTAACCATCTGAGCCACCCAGGCGCCCCTAAGTGGGTGATTATATTCTAAAACCATTTTGTTCTTTCAGGATGCTAAGGGACATGACAAATATTTTATGTGAGTATTAGAAGATGACTAAAACAATCCTAGGAGTTCTCTAATGGCTGATGTTGGGGTGACCGGCTTTGCTGCCTTGGGTAGTTTGTAAGGTGTCTTCTTGTGGCCACCGCCTAGCGCCCACGCCTCCTGAGGCTTGTGCAGGAAGTCCCAGCTGTGCGTTCTCCCCCTGCCAGCACGTTCTCAGAGACCCAGCCCCTGGCACCGTCTCGTCCTGCTCATGCGGGCCTCACATCCTCAGTTGCACTGGCTCATTTCTGTCTTCCCTTCGTGACGTGCTCCTTGGGGACCGAGACCGTGAGCTCCCTGTGTGCTGGTCTGGTGCCTGACAGCCGCGAGTGCCGTCTCAGGGGAGGCGCCGACTGTCTCTTGAATGCAGTTGTGCACTCGGATGTTCAGGAGTCTCCCCTTGGCATCCCGACCCTTCCTGTCCTCTCCCACCGGGTTCCTCTCTTGATTGCACGAAACTGCTGCCTCCTCGACTGTGGGAGAGGGATTTGCAAGTTAACCGCTCATGTGGCTGACTTTGGAACTGTTTCATCACAACAAGTGGGAACATCAGGAACCTAGTTTAAGAAAAGGCGGGCATAGGGGTGCTTGGGTGGCTCAGTCGTTAGGCGTCTGCCTTCGGCTCAGGTCAGGATCCCAGGGTCCTGGGATCGAGCCCCACATCGGGCTCCCTGCTCTTCGGGAAGCCTGCTTCTCCCTCTCCCACTCCCCCTGCTTGTGTTCCCTCTCTCGCTGTGTCTCTGTCGAATAAATAAATAAAATCTTTAAAAAAAAAAAAAAAGAAAAAGAAAAGGCGGGCATATACATGAAGGGCGTAGGGTTATCTCCCTGAAACCAGGCCTGGAAATGCACAGCCTGAGGAGCGGCCTCAACCGGGAACGAAATAATTGGCAGCTAAAGTCATTTACTCAATGATCCGCAATCTCTCATTTGCTTCTCTCTCTGCTTCTGGGTCATTCTGCCTCTCTCTGAAGTCTGGCTTTCTCTCCTTTAGCACACACAGTGAGAAAACCACCCTGCCAGCCCCATCCCAGCACCACTGCTGAAGGCTAGTATCCACTCTTCAGCTAGGGAGAAATGTCATTGGCTGGGCTTGGGCAGAAGCCCCCCCACCCCCCAAATGGGTGAGCTGCAAGGAGGGGGCAGAGTTGCCTGGGGGTCCACTCCTGGAGCAGGGGCAGTACTAAGAGAGAAGGGGGTGATGTTGGGTAGTTTCCCAAAAGGTATTTTCTACCTGACACTGAAGGGAAAGTAAGTTGGAGTTGAAAATGGCGGATGGTTTTTTAAAGGAGAGGTTAGTTCAGGTAAATTCTTTGAGTAAAATCCAAAGAAGCTGCTGAGTCATGCTTGGGAGGAAAATGTGAGTCAAGAGTTTCAGTCTGGGAGAGGATCTTATTTCTTTGGACCAAAGTTGCTGAGAAATGCCTCTTGCCTTCGACTCGTGGTGAAGGAAAGCCGAGTGGAAAACCAGGGCGCCCAACATGAACCGCGGAAGTGAGGAGTACCCGCACCTTCTCCTAGCCTAACACAAGACCCTGCTCCCCCCTGCCTTGTGGCGTTCATGTCTGGTTCCTCCTAGCTGAGCGTGATGTGTGCTGGAAAGGACTTGGTGTCAAGTAGGAACAGTGCAGGCAAAGGAGAGTGGTTCTTTCCATTGTTGCTTTGGAAAAAATGCATTCCTTTGCCGGAAAGTCAAAGGGGGGATTTTTGTTTTCAAGCCCAGTGAAGTCTTCTTGTTTGATTTGTTCTTCTCATTTCATAAAAAATTGTTGCATTGCTTTTTCCTAACAATGATGGCTTTTAATCTTACCAAATGAAAACGAGCTGAGTAAGTGAATTTGCGAGGCATGTACTGGGAGCTGGGGACTTGCCTGCAGAATGAAGGAAGAGGAAGTAGGAAGTTCTCAAGCCTCTTCAGCGCTGCTGCTATGTCTGCATCAACACACACGCTCTTTTTTTTTTTTTAAGATTTTATTTATTTATTTGACAGAGAGAGACACAGCGAGAGAGGGAACACAAGCAGGGGGAGTGAGGGAGGGAGAATCAGGCTTCCCGCGGAACAGGGAGCCCGACGCGGGGCTCGATCCCAGCACCCTGGAACGATGACCTGAGCCGAAGGCAGACGCCCAACGACTGAGCCACCCAGGCGCCCCGACATACAGACTCCTTAAGCCAGCTCTCTGGATTTTGGGGAGTCAGTGGAAAGAACTTAAAAAAAATCCCTCTTTCCTTATGGCCTGTGACGGTAGAAAGGAATCACTGTGGATGTTCATAAACTGTAGGCTGTATGTCCCCAAGCTTTTCTTTCTAGAATCTGTCTGGCAGCTTCAGTGAAAATAAAGGTATGAAGAGGTCCTACGTAGGAAATTAGAATGCAAAAGGTTTGTTTTCTGTTTTGGCCACAGTGAGTGTTCGTGTATGCGTATGATGTTCATTTCCTAAATATTGAGGATGGTAACATACATGGTGCCGTGCTTTGCTTTCCCACCCAGTCACTACCAACTGGCCAGAATCAAAAGTCTCAAACGAGCTTACAACCTGATTAAAATGTCAATGATACAACCACAAGACAGTAACATAAATGTGGCTGTCGTCGTATCAGGTAGGTGGCTAGGGGTGATGTTACGCGTTCCCCACGAGTTCTCTTCTCATGACTTTCAGATGTGTGCGTGTGTTGTACTATTACAAGGTACAGTGTTAGTTGTTTCTTTAAAAGCATCCATAGCATCAGGCTCTTCACTGCGTCGTGGTTTCAGGAGGATGGCCGACTTCCCTGACTCCACTTTTACATACTTGTGAGGTGACACTGTCTCCTCCCACTCTCTCCCTGCAGCAAGTTGTACCCCCACATTGCAGCACATCCGTTGGACCTGCTCAGCCCAATATTTTGTCTAAGGGACGTCACCAAAACAGTAGGAAACTCCGTTATGTCCAATTTAATTTTAGACATTGAATAAAGTTTAGCAGCACCTGCAAAGACTTCGGGCAGTTGGTATTGATTCCCCCAGGAGGTCATGACCTTCGTGGGCTTTGCCTTGGTGAGGTCCGGGGGAGGTCCTGCTGAAGCTGCCGTTGCCGATTCCCTTCATCTGCACCAGCACGTGACCTGCACTTCTCCCGGCGCTCATTTTGTCTGGCACGGTTGCATCTCCTTTGGTTGCAGTTGTACCAGGGCCTGGAAAGGGGACGGTGCCCCTCATGCCCCCCAGATGGCTGGTGGCATCAAGGGATGCTCTCCTGAGCCGTCTCTCTTTG